ATCCGTTACCCTAGTATCCCATAACACAAGCCTTACAGTGCTTACTTTAGGGCTAGGCTAATTGGTATGAGTCCAACTGAGTTAAGAGCGCTGTGAAGGTGCATCTACGTACAATTCATACTTTTACAGAAAATCATAGCGCGATTTCCGCCCTCAGTGCCCGCGCGCGCCTGCAGAGGGTGCCGCAAACACCCGCCGCGGGCGCGTGCGGGATGCTATCACCCGCAGAAGCCCGCCGCGGGCGCGTACGGGATGCTATCACCCGCAGACGCGGCCGTTGCCAGGACCACAAAAAAACTGCGGCCCTGTGAGTTCTGAAATAAGGCGGCTCGGCGGGTGTGCGTAAACCGCTCCGTGAGTTCTTAGCCTTACAGAAAGCGGGTATGACGCCGGTAAAAACCTACTTAGTTAAATGAAATGATCTTCTCTAAATTATTTTATTTAAAAATCCTTTTAAGGATAGGGTACCCTGCGCAAGCATTATTTGTCGTTGTGTCCATAAAAAGAGGGAAACCCACACTTGATAGTGGGGTAACGATTAAAATTGTCTGTTGTTGTATTTGTCTGTGGTGAACCACAAACTTTGTCTAGACTTAGATAAAGTAAATTCACGGGTACATTGTCCATTTCCCAATACTGGGCATTGCCCTGAAACATTTAATATTTTGGAAAGTTTAAGTGCAGAGAATCTCTATAATTATAGTATAATCATTTGAAAATACTGTTTAGAATATCAAATACATATGTATTTGCGTGTATTGCCAATAAATGCTTATCTTTCTTCTTTCTTTCTTTCAAAATGAAATCTAACGTTCATTTACACTAAGTCGTTTACCCGAAATTCATTGGCAATCGTATTCAGGCTAGCGACTAAGTGTATTTGAATCATTATTGACACCGAATGCTCATGCCCATTGAAACGTTGATTTGTTTTGTGTCATGATGGTGTAGTACCTAAGTGTTACAACAATTCGCGCGTGTTCCCATCGCTGGGCGTTAGTTAGATAAGCGCGTGGGAACTGCTTTCACCAGCTGCCACCGCTCCGGTTTTTGTGGGTGATGTGAACAATTGAGCATCAATACTAGGGCTGGCACGCGTGCGATCTACAAATCAAGGACTAATTTGGCCTACAATATGACATTTTTCTTTACCTACTATTTGTTACCTGAACAAATTTGGTGAAAAGAATGTTGAATTTAAATTGGCAAATATTAATCTATATATATTATAATATGTATTCCTTTTGTAATAAAAAGAAAGTAACATGACTAGGTAATGCCAAAGTATACATGTTCTTACAGTCTTAACTCAAATACTTCATTCGTTCGTTCAACCCCCACTCATTCGATCATTCACGCATTCAGTTCACTTATAAACTTCACTTTGTATTCTGCTGTGCTAGGAGTCAGTCGTATCAGCTTCCTAGTAAAAATATATTTCACAGAATATAGGTATAATTCGTCACTGTGATTCCGTATTTTATTCAGCTCCTCTGACCTATAAAATCTACAGAGAATATGTGTCTAGATAGTAATATTTTTCTTTTATGTGTCACAATTTTTGAATATGCTTTGTTTGTTTCAGAACATGGTATTTTTGTACTTATCACTTCTGCTGAACAGAGTTCGAATGTAACTATTTTATAACAAACACAAACCTTAGTTAAATCTTTGTGAAAAACTAACTAATTTATCTCAAAGTTAAAAAATATTATTTAATTAAAATGTCAATGGAAAATAAAGTCATCCTGGTAAGTATATTCCTCTATCTTATAGAAGACGGCCGTGAACTTAAGTTTCATGAAAGTCCCTCAGGAACCTAACATTTTTCCGGTATAAAAGGTATCCCACGTCTCTTTTCAGGTTACAAGGTGCCTGTGTGTAAAACTTCATCCAAATCCGTTCAGCCATTTTTGCGTGATTGACAAACATAGAAACACACAAAATTCTAAGTTTTCACATTTATAATATTACTAGCTGTGTCCCGCGGTCTTACCCGCCGTTTATTAGGGATATTTTCCCGCAGTAAAACGTAGCCTATGTGTTAATCCAGGGTGTCAGCTAACTCCATACCAAATTTATTATAATCACTCCAGCCGTTTAGACGTGAAGAAGTAACAAATATACACACTCACAAACTTTCGCCTTTATAATATTAGTGTTATTAGGATAAATCACACGAGTTTTATCTGACAACCCTTAGCATTACAGTTTAGTTGTATAACTGTAGTACACGATACACATACCTTTTATAACGAGATTGCCTACTTTAAACTTATTAAAAATAAATAAATTGAAATCCACTTAAGTAAAAATATTAATAACTACTTACTACTACGTGAACTGAGAGCTAAAGGAATACATAGTATCCAACAGTTGGCGATTTTTTTATCACTCGCTCCGTTGCCTAACTTGACCCATTCCCCTGCAACATTACACACCGACAGAATCACAACACCACTACAAGGTAGAGTTATTTTACTGTGGTCTTCTGTGGAGGTTACTTCCCCAGACGGGCGTTCTAATTCAAGCGGGGAATCCGCTATGCCCTTGTAGGAAGGCCAAAGGGAAAGATCTTCCTCCGAGCTGGGTGATGTTAGCTCGGGGGCCGCGGCCCGTCTGATGTTGGTCGGGCATCGTATATATGGTGTTTGGCTCCGAATTTCTCTTGCGCGATGTACCTATTATCATCATCATCATCATCATCAGCCTCTTAATGTCCCCACAGCTGGGGCACAGGCCTTCCCTATGGATGGAATAACGAAATTGGGCCAGGACCTACCACGCGGGCTCAGTGCGGATTGGCGGGTGCTAACGACTACAGGTGCAACCGGGACCAATGGCTTAACGTGCCTTACGAAGCACGGAGGAGCTCGAGATAGTAAATTTTTGGTCACCCATCCAATGACCGACCACTGCGAAAGTTGCGTAACTACAACGATCGCAGCCGATCGCGCTAACCACCTGCACCATAAAGCTCCTCAAGAAATAATGCTTATCACAAATTTAGTATTGGAAATAATAATTCATGATAGTTTTCCTAAGTCAGCAATATTTCTGTAGAAGGCAGGTTATAACAACACGCATAATTTTCCTATATAGCTACACTTTGACGAGGCCGCATTAGGCATTGCGTGGGTCAAAGTCGCTCTTCCGAAACGGTAGTGACAACTTGTCAAACCCATCAGCCGCACGTGACATGCTGTCAAAAGCAATACCGCACTCGGTCAGTTGTCACTATTAAAATTCAGACCTTAATGTTTGATTCTATTACGTCGAGTATTCAAATGGTAACGATCATACAACCTAAATAGTCCAACCATTAAACATGCATTCGAATGTGTAGAACGTAAAGCCAATAGCAAAATGAATGAAACAAATTAGTCTAATGATGTTCAAATACGATTAAACGATCAGAGTAATTTGACGTAAAAGTCATTCATATTGATTGTTAAATTAATTTCAATTGATTGCACCTCTATAAAAATAAAGCAGTTAGAAAAAGTCCGCCATTAAACCACATTAGATAATTTAGAAACTCCAATAATATAAAGCTAATTTTATAAAAACGATAATTGTAGTGCAAATTGTTTTATTAAAAAGGTTTGATTTAAGTGGGTCAAGGTCAGTTGCGGTTTTATTATTTATTTTAAATTCTCATAGAAATAGAAACTCTTCAGAAGTCAGTTTTATTTTTAAACCTTGGTCTTAGACTGTGGTCTTTGTGTTCAAGGCCCTTACAAAATTGAAATTGGAATGAAAATGAAATCCACGATTCCGCAATTATTTCATTTCGAATGTCATCAAATGCCGCCGTAAAAAATTCTATTCGATCGAGGTCAGAGGTCAAGAGAAACAGTTAAATAATTGATTTTGCAATTAGAACGCATTTTATCTAGGGCTAGTTTCCAAATTCAAATTTGTAAATACCTACGTAATATTCTGTTTAGCTCTGGCGATGGTGATAATGGAAGTTAAGCAAATATATCAATGTCCGGTCATTGGATGGGTGGTCAAAATTTATTATCTCGAGTTCTTCCGTACTTCGGAGGTTGTCGTTAAGCCATTGGTTCCTGCTATATATGTAGTCAGGATTTTATACTTGATAATAAAATAAACTGACACTCCGTTCAAAATCGACCTAGTTTTATTTAAAATTAGCATGGGACGACATACATAGTAGAACATCTCGAAAACATAATTGAATCTAAGGATATCTGGTCAGTAAGTATTGCCAGATAAAATGTTGCCACATTGCAACAGTTAGTAACACCCACTTTTTCGCACTGGGCTTTTGTGGTAGGACATTCGTGTTTTCTCTATTCCTTCAGTAGCGGTGACCTGAACTGATGACCTAGTGATGAATATTCTGTTTGAAAATGACGAAAAGACTTTGCTTAACTGAAAATAAAACTTTACCTTACATCAATAGATAAATATAAGAACCTAGTCTAAGATGGAAACTTACCGACGCAACGGAACAAACAAGTTTAATAAACCTCTCGTTTGAACTTGTATTTATCAAAAACGAGACTTTTTAAAGTCATGTTCTTTGTAAAAAAATGATTTGGCTATAAATATTGTTTGCATTAGTGATATGAAAAGCTTTCCTTTACTTAAATGCAAAATAGAATCTTGCAGTACACATTCAGCTAAACTTAGTATTATTGTCCTAAAACTCTTCTTAAAGTGTCTATATAGACACAAAACATATTTTTAGCTATGGTCATTATAGACTTAGAAACCATTCAATCGATATTTCCTTAACCGTTTTCGTTAATGCGAAGATGAGTTTAAACCACTAGATCACAATGCATTAGAAACATTCGGTCCATTAATCAAGTCAATTTTTAAGTTTTCCATACAACAATTTTCAGTCACATCAACGGGTGGCGTTAATATTTCGAAAATTGAAAATATTACTTCGCAATTTTTTTTTATATAAGCACACCTTGGGGAACCCTCAAAGAATTATATCTCAACTTAAGCCTATAACTTACCGTAGCCAACTCCTCGTAGTCAACCCCATGAGGCTGCGATTCATTCGTCATCGCCTTCCACACTTTCAGGCCATCCTTCTTGAAAAGCCCCTGCTGTTTCTTCAGCACCAAATTCATCTTTTTCCCGAACGCGTCCAAATCAATCTTGTGCACATCCTCTTCTTGGTCATCAGCGACGTGCTCCTGATCTTCGGCTATCTGATCTTCATCACTACCACTGTTCACATTATCACTAACTTCACTAGAATTCGACACACCGAACTCCACACTGACCGTGTTGTTCAAATCACCAATTATGTCCACGTCTTTAATATGTTCTCGGGCTTTCACGAACATTTCGTCGTTTAGTAAAGATGGAAGGTTCTTCTCCTTCTTCCATGGTCTGTTCTGGGTCTTCTCGTGTGGTATTTTCGAGGGGTTTGTGGAGTGGGAGTTGGTTGAATGGCTGGTGGGGATGTTCCGCCTGGCTAGATGGTGGGTTAGGCTCACTAAGTGGTAGTCTGGTACTAAGCTGTGGTGCTCTACGTGGAATACGTTTCGAAGTTCGTCTGCCGTCATGTGCTCGTGGATCTGGAAACAAGGAAAAAAGTAAATTTAAATAATGATCAAATATAACAGGTATGTAGTATGCAGTATAGCATTTTTCACCAATGTAAAATGAAACATTATTTTTTGATTCTCAAATAAAATAAAGGAGCGAGTCATTTTATTGAACAAGTGAAATTATTATTATAATTGATGACAATGAATTTTTAGTAACAATGTTGGTATACTTTCTAATGTCTCTGTGTTGGTGACCAAATATAGTTAATTATATCCTGTGTTTTAAATTATATAGGTTAATTTAGTTTTGGTAATCATCATCATCATAAACAGCCTATCCTAGTCCACTGCTGGACATAGGCCTCTCCAATTGCACGCCACTCAGATCGATTTTGGGCTACTCGCATCCAGCTCCTGCCAGACCTTGCGCAAATCGTCACTCCACCGTTCCTGAGGACGTCCTACACTACGTTTGCCTAGACGCGGTCTCCATTTCAGAATTCTGTAAAAGTCTGTCTCTCTCCAGTTTTGGTAAAATCTCCATCATACCCAACGGAAATATTAAATAAATGTAGAAATATAAAAGAAATGAAGATAAACGTAAAACATATAATAATGAATTTAAAAAAGCAGTTTAAAAGCATTTTAAGTAGCCTTTCAGAACGATAGGATTAAAACCACCGTACGCCTTTTCCTTACAGTTCATTGGTTTGGTTGCGAGTGTTTTTTTTTTCGCCAAGCCGATACTTGAAGATTAAAATAATAACAAAACAAAGGCGGTGCAGCAAGCTCTTAACATCCGCATTGGTTCTCGGATAACTAAATGCGAACAAAGGACAGTTTATTTTTAAACTGTAGCGAACTGTTTAAAGGCTCATAGTGCGATTTTTGAAAGGGCAAACATTATGAATAATAATATTCGTTACTAGCCAGACTAAAAAGTAGGACCAAAAAAGATTAAACTATAGACAAATAACTAGAAAAAATTCCACGCGGACCAGGCAGCAGACGGGACTCGAACCCGCACCCTTCGCAATCCGGGCGAATGCACTGACCAATTATGCTACCGCGGCCCTCACGGACCGCGTCGAAATTCCTTCTAGCTATTCTTAAGCTGCAAAGCAGCGCCATCTCTTCGCATTATAGGTAAACCCACAATGTCAAATGAATACTTTTACAAGTATTAAACATTTGAAAGAAGAAATAGCAATTATAGTTATAATTTTTATTATTTTTAATCTAAAGAAAATATAACTAGAAAAAATTCCACGCGGACCAGGCAGCAGACGGGACTCGAACCCGCACCCTTCGCATTTTTCTTTTTTCTAGTTATATTTTCTTTAGATTTAAACATCAAGCAGTTACATGCTTTAAAAATAATAAAAATTATAACTATAGACAAATAAACTTGTGTAGTACACGTTTTTGTATGTAATATTGCTATTGCGCTAGCTTTCTTGTCTATGGTCGATGCTCCAGAAGTTTGCCGGGGTGTATAGGCAAATGCATTAAAAATAATATGATACAAAACGCGGAAGCAGCCTGCTTCTTCATTCTTTTAATTCCAAGCACGAAATTTTTCCACTTCAAAACTCACATCATCAGCCTATTAATGTCCCCACTGCTGGGGCACAAGCTCTCCCTACGTATGGAGTAGGAAGATTGGGCCATTACCCACCACGCGGGTCCTGTGCTGATTGGTGAGAGCTAACAACTGCAGATGCAACCGGAAACAACGGTTTTAAGTGCTCTCCGATTCACGGAGGAGTTCGATATAATGAGTTTTTGGTCAACCCATCCAATGACCGAGCATTGCGAAAGCTGATTAGCTTCCACGATCGCAGGCCAAACGTGTTTATTACCTGCGCCATCGAGCTCCTCTTACTGGCTGTTTGCAATCTATAATATTTGTAATTAAACTAAAATAGTGAGCGCGTGTAGGCTAATAGCTTTTGTTATACCTATAAAACTTCTTTGAAAAATTATCTGAGTCATGATGTAAAAAGTATGGAAATCCGTTCAAAAGTTTTCCTATGCATTACTAAAATACATACAGACAGTCACAGCAAGAAACATTGTTTTACAAACGACACGCACCATTATTTCACAATGTGGGTCATATTAATTTTAGAAACCTTTCATATTTCGTATAATGCGGTTTTTTTATGAGGCGCAACAAATTACCCCACCACATTTGAAGTTCAGTGGAGTCCAGTCGCGAAGATAGTCGCGGCAGAAAATGTGCCGCTCCAGCAATCCTCACCTTGCCGGCCTGAACCCAATCCCCTGCCCCGCGGAGCCCTGGAACTCTACCCACCGTCACAGCACCACCAAAAGATAGTGTTATTTTAACGTCTTCCGTAAAGTAGAGGTTGCTTTCCCAAACGGCGGAATTCGAGCGGAAAATCCGCTGTGCCCTAATTCTCTTAAATATGCTATTCAGCCCCTCTAGCATGACCACCGAAACGGGATATGATAAAGCGATATATCGACATTAACTGTCAGACTACTATGGAGTTTGACAGTAGTCTGACAGTTAATGTCGATATATCGCTTTATCATATCCCGTTTCGGTGGTCATGCTAGAGGGGCTGAAATGTTGATATATCATGAAAGTGTCGCTGAAATTTCGCAATACCCTATTTTTCTTTAATCTATGATATGAATATGAAAAGATAAGAATTAACTAGAAGATAAAGATTATTTAAAAAAAATAGTTTGTTATGATTATTCTTCAATGTTGTTTTGGAAATTTTCGTAAAAACTTCAGCCTGGTTGTGTTGGCATATCGCGTGGTTTTTATGCGTGATAATTGTGCATTGCTCACTTACTAAGATTTAAAACTAAAAGTTTGCTTACGAATGTCAATAACAGATCCTTGACAGAGGTCGAACTCGTGCCGTTCTCGCGTACGACCGCGCTACGTTTCCGAAATTACACCCTTCGATTCGTCATGAACTTGATTCGCGTGATATTGAACATAAAGATATTTAGCAACCAAACATAATCTCAATTACGCTGGTGTTATATTTGTTTGTAGGTCGGCAGGAAGTTGTTAATACAGCCGCAGTCGCAGCAGTGTGCAATGCAATACTTAATTTGGTTTTTATTTCTAAATTGTTGCAGGTGTCGCAAGCGAAGGTAATAAGCAAAATTTACTGTCACACAATGTTTTAACGTTTATTTGTATTTTTTTTATGTAACAGAAATGCTTAAACTTCAATGATTATCTGTAAACTGTTCATTATTATTATCTGATCTCTCTGTACCTCATCCCTTAAACTCTAGAAAAATGAATTCTTCGTCTATAAAATTTTCTAATGTGTAGAATCTTCTCCGGGTGAGTGCTGTAATTCGACTGGGAAATCTACTTACTGTCTTCTTAGTCTCCAATTTTTTTCGAAATCTGAAGCAGAAGACTGTAACTGGAGGGTACCTGACGTCTGTAGCTATGGGCCTTGAATTCTATTTGAGTTTGTTACATACCTAAAAATGTAGATGAAATTAATGGCATTCTTTCCTATAACACATCTCAAGAATAGGATAATCCATTTTAGCTAAGCAAAACTTAAAGTATTTCAAGACTTTTAGAACTTTAGTACACAAAGCGCATGAATTCGAGCTAACCGGATACTTAAAGCTTTACGGCTGTTCATATCCTGGCAAGGCAGGTATTAGCTAGCCGGAATTAGTAGCTTAAGTATATCCTGTTAATTAAAAGAGAATATTGATGGTGTCACGGCATAGTAAACTAGGTTACATATGGCCACTAGCACTAGCATTCTTAATTCAAAATAAGGCTTAATCCTGTTTAAGATGTCATTCTGTAACTATCAATTGTTTAAAGTCAAATGGAGATAAAATTGATGCAAGTGTGTCTTTAGGCAGGCTAAAAAATTCAAAAATTCTTCATTGGAATTTTTTTATTCATAATAGAACTCTTTTGAATAAGTAATTCTTTTTTCTCTTCTTCTTTTAGAAGTTATACTTCTTTAGGCGCGTTATGAAAAAATGATGAGAGTGAAATTTTAAGATGCGCGCGCATCACTGTAACACAAAAAATTAACAGCATGAAGTTGGTCGCTAAAGCGACTTTTGTGTTTACCGCACATTAAGAAAATGTACCAACAAAATAGAATCTCTATTTAGTGGGTGCTAACGACTGCATTGTGAATGCCTATCAAAAGTATTTATTAATCTAGAACAACGGAACCAAAGCGCGATTCAGGAGACTACAACGCCATCTCTTGACCATTGGTGTAGTAGAACCAAAAACCACATCTTTATTTTTTGTAATAAAGTAACAGTTATAGGTATTCATATTTATAATATTTATCCACATGTTTCTAGTTTGTATATTCGGAATACGTGTTTGAGTTTCATACAAGTGCAAATCACATATGTTCTAATAAATTATATTCAGTAGCGATTTTAATTGAATATTTTGATTATTTATTTATTTTTTCAAATTAAAAAAGGACACAGTCAATAAGACTGTGTCCTTTTCCAGACTTTTAATTAATTTACTGTAATTAATTATTTGCATGCAATTAAAAACTAATTTTAAACGATGCCAAAGAAGGATAACTTCTCACGCGCCTACATAAGTACACGCACCCATTTTTTTATTTTTTTATGGCATGCACGGTTTGTGTGTTCAGCCAATGTCAAGTAAAACTTCTTTCTTTATGTATTGCTATCCGTTCACGACTTTTTTTTCTTGGAGGATAAGAAGGTAAATCGAAGCAAATGCAACCGTGCGGCAGAAAGACCTCCTCAAAAATTTGAGAAAGAGTCTTTTTCAAAGGCATCTCAATCCTGGGGGCCATTCGCCTAACGGAAATGCTTTGGAAAACGCTAACGCTTACGATTTCATTTTGTTATTTCTAGCCGCCTGAGGTTTTTAAATGCTTCGCGCTCTTTTTTTTCTTTTGCATTGGTAATAACAATATTTAAAAAAATGAGCGTGAGGTATTTGAAAACCTTCGGCAGTCAGAAATAACAAAATAAAATCGAAAGCGTTAGCG